TGGTTACAAGATCTTTACAGTAAAAAAAGTTTATAACTAACCACAGTGGTTACAAGATCTTTACAGTGAAACATGTTTATAACCAACCACAATGGTTACAAGATCTTTACAGTAAAAAAAGTTTATAACTAACCACAGTGGTTACAAGATCTTTACAGTGAAACATGTTTATAACTAACCACAGTGGGTACAAGATCTTTACAGTGAAACATGTTTATAACTAACTACAGTGGTTACAAGATCTTTACAGTAAAACATGTTTATAACTAACCACAGTGGGTACAAGATCTTTACAGTAAAAAAAGTTTATAACTAACTACAGTGGGTACAAGATCTTTACAGTGAAACATGTTTATAACTAACCACAGTGGGTACAAGATCTTTACAGTAAAACATGTTTATAACTAACCACAGAGGGTACAAGATCTTTACAGTAAAACATGTTTATAACTAACTACAGTCGTTACAAGATCTTTACACTAAAACATGTTTATAACTAACTACAGTGGGTACAAGATCTTTACAGTAAAAAAAGTTAATAACTAACCACAATGGTTACAAGATCTTTAAGGTAAAACATGTTTATAACTAACTACAGTAGGTACAAGATCTTTACAGTAAAAAAAGTTTATAACTAACCACAGTGGTTACAAGATCTTTACAGTGAAACATGTTTATAACTTACCACAGAGGGTACAAGATCTTTACAGTAAAACATGTTTATAACTAACCACAGTGGTTATAAGATCTTTACAGTAAAAAAAGTTAATAACTAACCACAATGGTTAAAAGATCTTTAAGGTAAAACATGTTTATAACTATCTACAGTAGGTACAAGATCTTTACAGTAAAACATGGTTATAACTAACCACAGTGGGTACAAGATCTTTACAGTGAATCATGTTTATAACTAACCACAGTGGTTACAAGATCTTTACAGTAAAACATGACTTGATAATCAACAAACTTGCGCATTAAGACAAAGACAATGTTAATGTGAATTTCCTTATCTTTACAGCTGATAGAGTCGATCACCAGGACATATGTCGGAACTAATGCTTACATGGCAGTAAGTATAGGTTCTTATAATTTAATCTCGCTTGTAACAAGCATTTTCATTGGCTTAAATATTTATGTTATCAGCCCATAACGTAAAAAATGTCGTCGCCATTTGTAACGTCGCTTTTGATTGGCTGATACAGCAGCGCAATAACTTCTAAGAGAAAAGAGTACATCAATAACAGCGTATTTCCACAGGGATTGTGTGTAGTAGATTAAATTTTAAGGATTAACTTGAATGTATTTTTCATGTTATGGAGCTATAACACAAAAAAATTGAGTGTACTCTCATCATAAACCTCCATAACATGAAAAATGTATTCAAGTTAATCCTTAAATAAATGTTTATCTCATCAGTAAATATCAAAACAGAGTTGTACACAGCCGTTAACAGGTATTTATAGTATATTACATTTTGTTACATTTGAAGTAAACAAGGAATTAATATACCCATAAGAAACATGATTTTTTATTCATAGAAATACTATCTTCAGTTCAGCTGTTGAATTTTACTCCCTCATGGAACCAAATAACTGTAGGAGTTTAGCTGCTGCCATTGGTCAAATTATTACCTCGTCCATGTCACAGTCAGAGTTAGATGTTTACTTTGTGAATGATCACTTGTAAAAAGGGTATAGTAAATGATATTTATATTTCACAGCCAGAGTTAGATGTTTACTTTGTGAATGATCACTTGTAAAAAGGGTATAGTAAATGATATTTATATTTCACAGCCAGAGTTAGATGTTTACTTTGTGAATGATCACTTGTAAAAAGGGTATAGTAAATGATATTTATATTTCACAGCCAGAGTTAGATGTTTACTTTGTGAATGATCACTTGTAAAAAGGGTATAGTAAATGATATTTATATTTCACAGTCAGAGTTAGATGTTTACTTTGTGATTGATCACTTGTAAAAAGAGTATAGTTAATGATATTTATATTTCACAGCCGGAGCGGATACGAGGAGAAGAGTATAGCTCACCGGCAGAGGTCTGGAGTCTCGGCTTCATGCTCTTTGAGGTAACAATTTTGAAATTGTAAACTGTCTGTCCAATTTATTGAACAAATTTATATGATGCTGACAATGGTTATCAGAAAATACAAGCCAACTTCATATCAATGCAAACTAATAAATATCTGAAGAGGCATTTTTTTTTTTTATATAGATACACCTTATAAAGAGACATTCACACAAACAACCATCTTCATATTGATTATCAGAAAAACAAAAAAACAAAAACCCCAAAACATGGATACAAAAAGTCACTTTGGTTATTGTTATTGAATACCTCCTTTAAAACAAAAATCAATATCTTGAGGTATTACAAGAAGACAGCAAATGCTATAGATGTTTTTGAAAGCCTTTTATCATCTTGTAATTAAAGAGCGAGATCCTTACATATATCTATTGACCAACAGTATTTCAAAATAGAAACCAGATTCATCAAAACTACACTCTGTCTTAACAAGACAAACTGGACACTGTCTAAACTATACTCTGTCTTAACAAAACAAACTGGACACTGTCTGAACCAGACTCANGATCACTTGTAAAAAGGGTATAGTAAATGATATTTATATTTCACAGTCAGAGTTAGATGTTTACTTTGTGATTGATCACTTGTAAAAAGAGTATAGTTAATGATATTTATATTTCACAGCCGGAGCGGATACGAGGAGAAGAGTATAGCTCACCGGCAGAGGTCTGGAGTCTCGGCTTCATGCTCTTTGAGGTAACAATTTTGAAATTGTAAACTGTCTGTCCAATTTATTGAACAAATTTATATGATGCTGACAATGGTTATCAGAAAATACAAGCCAACTTCATATCAATGCAAACTAATAAATATCTGAAGAGGCATTTTTTTTTTTTATATAGATACACCTTATAAAGAGACATTCACACAAACAACCATCTTCATATTGATTATCAGAAAAACAAAAAAACAAAAACCCCAAAACATGGATACAAAAAGTCACTTTGGTTATTGTTATTGAATACCTCCTTTAAAACAAAAATCAATATCTTGAGGTATTACAAGAAGACAGCAAATGCTATAGATGTTTTTGAAAGCCTTTTATCATCTTGTAATTAAAGAGCGAGATCCTTACATATATCTATTGACCAACAGTATTTCAAAATAGAAACCAGATTCATCAAAACTACACTCTGTCTTAACAAGACAAACTGGACACTGTCTAAACTATACTCTGTCTTAACAAAACAAACTGGACACTGTCTGAACCAGACTCATCAAAACTATACTCTGTCTTAACAAGACAAACTAGACACTGTCTGAACCAGACTCTTCAAAACTATACTCTGTCTTAACAAGATAAACTGGACACTGTCTGAACCAGACTCTTCAAAACTATACTCTGTCTTAACAAGACAAACTGGACACTGTCTGAACCAGACTCTTCAAAACTATACTCTGTCTTAACAAGACAAACTGGACACTGTCTGAACCAGACTCTTCAAAACTATACTCTGTCTTAACAAGACAAACTGGACACTGTCTGAACCAGACTCTTCAAAACTATACTCTGTCTTAACAAGACAAACTGGACACTGTCTGAACCAGACTCATCAAAACTATACTCTGTCTTAACAAGACAAACTGGACACTGTCTGAACCAGACTCATCAAAACTACACTCTGTCTTAACAAGACAAACTGGACACTGTCTGAACCAGACTCATCAAAACTACACTCTGTCTTAACAAGACAAACTAGACACTGTCTGAACCAGACTCATCAAAACTACACTCTGTCTTAACAAGACAAACTGGACACTGTCTTAACCAGACTCATCAAAACTACACTCTGTCTTAACCAGACAAACTGGACACTGTCTTAACCAGACTCATCAAAACTACACTCTGTCTTAACAAGACAAACTGGACACTGTCTTAACCAGACTCATCAAAACTACACTCTGTCTTAACAAGACAAACAGGACACTGTCTAATCTATACTCTGTCTTAACAAGACAAACTGGACACTGTCTTAACCAGACTCATCAACACTACACTCTGTCTTAACAAGATAAACTGAACACTGTCTTAACCAAACTCTGTATAAACAAAACTCTGTCTAAATAGGACTCTGTCTAAACCAAACTGTATAAACTGGACTCTCTACTTAAACCAAACTGTCTTAACCAAACTGTATAAACAGGACTCTGTACAAACTGGACTCTCTGTCTAAACAAGACTCTGTATAAAAAAACTCTGTCTAAAAAAACTCTGTATAAACAAAACTCTGTCTAAATAGGACTCTGTCTAAACCAAACTGTATAAACAAAACTCTGTCTAAACCAAACTCTGTATAAACAAAACTGTCTAAATAGGACTCTGTCTAAACCAAACTGTATTAACTGGACTCTGTTTAAATTGGACTCTCTGTATAAACCAAACTGTCTAAGCAGAACTCTCGGTCTAAACCAAACTCTGTCTTAACCAAACTCTGTACAAACAGGACTATCTGTCTAAACCAAACTCTGTATAATCTGGAATCTGTCTAAACAGGTCTCTGTATAAACTGGACTCTGTCTAAACCAAACTCTGTCTTAACCAAACTCTGTATAAACAAAACTCTGTCTAAACAGGACTCTGTCCTAACCAAACTGTCTAAACCAAACTCTGTATAAACTTGACTCTGTCTAAACCAAACTGTAAAAACTGGACTCTGTTTAAACCAAACTGTCTTAACCAAACTGTGTAAACAGGACTCTGTATAAACTGGACTCTGTCTAAACCAAACTGTCTAAACCAAACTGTATAAACTGGACTCTCTAGATCTGTCTTAACAAAACTCTGTCTAAACCAAACTCTGTCTAAACCAAACTCTGTCCTAACCAAACTCTGTCCTAACAAAACTGTCTTAACAAAAACTCTGTCTAAACCAAACTCTGTCCTAACCAAACTCTGTCTAAACAAAACTCTGTATAAACAAAACCCTGTCTTTACAGGACTTTCTGTCTGAATAAAACTAAAATTGATATTGAAATTAACATCATCATTAAACATTACATTTACAAAACCAGATGTCTTGAAACCACACTTAACATAAATTCTCTTATCAATTTATTGAAAGACCACCACAATGTCAAAAAATACATAGCAACCGCTAAAGGTGATGCTTACTTGAAAGTTTTTACAGAGAGTGGGGAAAATGGAAAAAAGTTTTACTTCTTTAAACTTAAATTGAAATGATTTCTATATCTAGACCCATTCATATTTATTAATGGACTCTTGAACTCTGACAGTTGGTTAATATAAAACTTTTATACTTGTTTTGAATAGATATTACTATCTTTGAGCAAATGTTGCCAATAAAACAATTGTCGATGATTTAATTTCAACTTCTTTATTTTTGGAAGGCCTGTCTCTCTCAAATCTGTCGTCCTTGTCTCTGTGTTGATTGTCTTTGTGCGTATATGTCTTGTGTGTCTGTCTTTGTATGTCTGTCTATCTGGCAGTTCTTGCCTGTGTCTTGTTTGTCTTTGCCTCTGTGCACATGTCTACTTTTGTTTTTGTCTGTCTTTGTTTTTCCAGTAATTATCTGTCTGTCTCTATTTCTTTCTTTCAATAAAACCACAACACATGACTAATAGGATTAGTGTTTATTCCAATGTTTTGAAATGACATCTTGGATAGATTGATAACATATGCGCTAATACATATATACTATCATACTAAGGTAGTTGCTTGTGTATAATATATTGAATGATAGTGTGAGAACTATTCATATACATTTTTTTTAAATGTACATCATGTATAGAGATGAATATTTTGTACAGAACTGGTGTATATGAAATGTTAAATTATGAATGTTTCTTTACTGATGTATGGTGTATATGAAATGTTAAATTATGAATGTTTCTATACAGATGTATGGTGTATATGAAATGTTTAATAAGAATGTTTCTATACAAATGTATGGAGTGTATGAAATGTTTGATATGAATGTTTCTATACAGATGTATGGCATGTATGAAATATTTAAGATAAATGTTCCATACTGTTGTATGAATGTTTCTGCACAAATGCATGGTGTGAATGAAATGTTTAATATAAGTGTTTCTATACGGATGTATGATGTGTATGACTTTTTTTTTATATAACTGTTCTTTACAGGTGTATGAAATATTTGATATGCATGTTCTATACAGATCTATGTTGTGTATGAGTATATATGAAATGTTTGAAATAAATATATCATAAATTAGCATGCTCTGTTATGATCATGATAGTACACACGATCAGTAACTCAGATTAATATTTTCTTCAGACCCAATACTTAGAAAAGTGGGTATATGAAATGAGTATGGTTAACATGAAATGTGTATGGTTAACATGAAATGAGTATGGTTAACATGAAATGTGTATGGATTGTTTAGGATGAGAGTACAGTGAAGTATGTTATAGTCTCCCAAATATTGTCATGTGTATGTGCTTTGAAAAACTGAATAAAAATATAAATTAAAAAAAACCAAAAAAACTATTATCTGGACTCTGTCTAAACAAAACTCTGTATAAACAGAACTCTGTATAAACTGGCCAAATGATGTGGTCCCAGGGTGTCCTGGTTAGACAGTGTATTGTACAACGAAGTCTAGGCTAGTATTAACACAAATCTGACCTTCTAAATACTGTATTTCAGCTTGCCACGGGTGAAATTCCATATGGTAATGTAAGTATAAAACTCTACCATTTTGTAATTGTCTGATTTCTCAAAACTGTATGAATGTGTTTGTTCGTCTTTTTATCATTGTAATGTGTCATATATGTTAAATATCACGTAATACATATTGGTGTCAGTTAAAGATGAAGTTATAAGCCCAGTAGTTATTTGACTTGAATTCTAAGGTTATATAACTGCTAAATTAATTACTATGACTGAATGTTAAAGTTTTAAGAAAATTCCAGTAACGTAGACATAAAATGAATGAATCGAGTTATGATATTGAGGGTGTATAGTAATGATTTTGTTAATTCTTTTTTTTTATATCAATTTTATTTCATTTTATTTTTGCAGCCGAAGTCCTATGCTACAGTGAGTACTATAATTGATGAAATTTTTGTTAAATCATCATGCATATGGTTAGTTAAAACTGTCGAAACTAAGCTATTGTGTAATCAGGGGACCTGTATAAACCAGACATTCACAGCTAAGTCCCATTGTAAACATTTCTGTATAGGCTGAACCTGTGTTATCTGTAAACCTGTATAAACCAGACCTTCCTACTTGGTATCACTGTACATTTCTATGTAAACCTGTATAAACCAGACCCTCCTACTTGGTATCACTGTGTACATTTCTATGTAAACCTGTATAAACCAGACCCTCATACTTGGTACCACTGTGTACATTTCTATGTAAACCTGTATAAACAAGACCCCCATACTTGGTATCACTGTGTACATTTCTATGTAAACCTGTGTAAACCAGACTCATACTTGGTATCACTGTGTACATTTCTATGTAAACCTGTATAATCCAGACCCTCATCCTTGGTATCACTGTGTATATTTCTATGTAAACCTGTATAAACCAGACCCTCATACTTGGTATCACTGTG